AGCCAGTTCAAGATTAGCACGAGTATAGTATAACACAAATTAGCATAGATTTGTATCAAGTGTCAGAGTCTCTTAATCTCCCCCTGGATATATTAATAACAAGACTCCCCTAAACTCATATGAGCAAAGACTTCTCTTAACTCCCCTTGTTTAATTTAGAATTATGAATGAATTTCACAAAAATTTTAATTCATTAAAAAAATCTCCCCCAGTTTCATTGATAATCATAAAAAATATTATAAGAGAAAAAAAAAAATCTCCCCCTGTTTCACACAGATTAATATCATCAAAATATCTCCCTGTTTCATTGATAATTATGAAAAATATTGCAATTGAAATTGAGAACAAATTTGCACATATTAGTACATAAATCAAGGTAGAAAAGATAATGCATTACAAAGTGTGATAGAGAAGAACATCATATTAAGGAGGCAATATCTAGGATACCAAAGACAAATGAAGAGAGAGAAAGATAAGGGAATAGAATGATTGTAAAGATAATGGAATGAAATGCAGTAGTTTCCCCCAATTGCAGTCTTCTTATTTAGGCAACTTTCAAATTCAAATTCACTCATATTCCAGATTTCAAATTTCAAATTCAAATTGCAACAAATTTAAATTCAAATTGCAACAAATTTAAAATTCAAATTTCTAATCCCAAATTTCAAATTCCAATTTCAAATTCAACTTCAAAAATCTCAAACTACAAAAATTTCAAATTTCAAAATCTCAAACTACAAAATATCAAATTTCAAAAATCTCAAGCTGCAAATTTAAAAAAAATCTCAAACTGCAAAATTTCAAACTTTAATAATTTCAAATTTTCATAAATTCAAATTTTCAAAATTCAAACTTTCAAATTTCAAAGTTGGTCAACAATCAAATTTATGTGACAGATAAGTGCAGATATTCAATATAGAGGCTTGAGAGACAATCATAAACTTATCTTTGTAATATTTCCCTTTTCATCTAGCTTGTTCCTGTACACCCATTTAGCTTCAATAACATGCATTAATTTCTTATCCTTGATAATTACCTGTAACATCAACATATAAATCTAGGTACCCTCTAATTATTTTTGGGTCCTTAAAAAGGTTAGTAGAATCACAAGTCTTTGCCAAAAGACTAAGGATTAAAAGAATATAACCATGATATAATAATCGATTATCACAGCACCTTTAGAATCAACATAATTGATTATGACAACAAGAAAAAAATTTATGATTCTGATAATCAATTAGATGCTCAAACTATCATCTAGACATGTATAAATTCTTTGTTCCTTTAGGCACCCATTCATATTTGCCATTAGATATGCCAAAATGTTTTATGTAACATCTATTTGATGTATGACCTATTTTCATGCAATAAAAACATGTTGGTTTTCTTTGAAAATGTCTAAATGAGTTTCTTAAAGTTTTTAAAACTGCTTTCACATCTATTTTCCTTGACTCTTTCACAAAAATAATTTTATGAGGTTCTAAACTTTCTTTGGGTTTGTAACCAAGTCCAACTTTGCTAGAATTCCCTCTTTGATAACCTAATATAGAATCAAGATTTTTAGAAGATTTTGAAATCTTGCTTATTATTTTCTCTAACTTGAAAATCTCATTTTCCAAATGATTACAATTTTCACAAGGTTTAGCAACTTCTTTATTTTTAGACAAAGTTTTAATTTCTCAATATCTTTCTTTAAGCACTCATTTTCTTTTTCAAGAATACCAACAGTATTTTCTAATGCATTAAGCTTTTGTCTAAGTGCATTGTATTTCTAAGATAACTTGGTAAAACCTTCATACATATCTTGATATTCTTTAAACAACTCATCATATTCATTTTAAGATTTTGTACTGCGTACCTGTGATAAGGCTCATCATCACTTTTTGTCATCAAGCAAAGATTTGATTCTTCTTCTCCCTCACTGCTTTCGGAAAAACTCTCTTGTATTATGGAAGAATCATTATCCACCCAAGCAATATAAGATTTATGTTTTCTCTTATATATATATATATCGTTCTTCTCTTTCTTCTTCTCTTTCACATCTTTCTTCTCTTTCTTAAGTTCCGGACAGTCTGGTTTGATATGGCCAAACTTTCCACATCCATAACACTCGTATCTATTGGTTTTCTCTTTTCTTTGTTGTCTCTTTTTCCTGTTCTTCATAAAGCGAGAAAATTGTTTAAAAAAAAGAGATATATCGGAATATGAAAACTTACCTTCATTTTCGCTTTCATCTTGTGAAGATTTTTCTGCTTTTAGAGCTATCGTCTTGATTTGATTATGTTCACCGTTCTTTAACCTTTGTAATTCCATCTCATGTTCTTGCAACTTTCCAAATAGAGTAGCAATATTCATTTCTGTGAGATCCTTTGATTCTGTAATAGCAGTGACCTTTGGTTGCTAATTCCTGTATAAGGATTTCAAGATCTTTGTGTTCAACTCCTCATTGTCAAAACTCTTTCCTAATGCTTTTAAGTGATTTACTATATGTGTGAAGCGTGTCTGGAAATCCGTGATGCTTTCATTTTGCTACATTTGAAATAATTCATACTCCTGGATGAGTGTGTTCTTACGTGCTTGCTTTACTTCATTTGTTCCTTCATGTATTACTTCAAGAGTGTCCCATATTTCTTTTGTCGTCTTGCATTGTGAGACCCTGAAAAATTCATTACGAGTTAAGGCAGAAACAATAGCATTTCGGGCTCTTACATCATAATGGGCACGCTTATTTTCATCTGGCATCCATTGGTCAAAAGTCTTTGGAACAACTCTAGATTCCATTGTTCTCATCGGAATGTACGAACCATTGAGTACAACATCCCAAACACCATAATCTAGTGTTTGTAAAAATATTTCCATTCTTGTTTTTCAAAACTGATAGTCTTCTCCTTCAAATAATGATGGTATGTTTATTGAGGCTCCTTCCCTGTAAACCTGATTCTGCATAGACATCTTGACAGATCGTTTAGAAATATCTTATTTAACCAAGCTCTGATACCACTTGTTAGACAAATGGCATTTATAGGGGGTGAATAGATGCACAAATTAAAATAGATGTCAAATTAAAAATTTATTTGCGAGTCAATAATTTGTTTGAACACAGATAAAATGGAAGTCATAATATAATCAGGAAAAGAGATAGAGAAAAGGGAAAGAGAAGAGCACACATAGATTTATACTGGTTCGGGTATAGCCAATCCTACATCCAGTTCCCATTCAACTCTTAATACAAGAGTGACTCCCAATTCACTATCTTTCAAATTCAGTTTACAAATTACAATCAACTCAGCAGAAGAACCAGTAAAAAGTAAACTAATTCAAAAGACAATCACCTCCTTAGAAACTCACTAAGGATGAACACCTTCCTAGAATCCCACTAGGGATGAACACCTCCTCTGAACAAATCAAAGAATGAAAAAAACACCTCCTTAGAATCCCACTAAGGATGAACACCTCCCTAGAATCACACTAAGGATGAAAACCTCCTTTGAACAAATCAAAGGATGAAAACACCTCCTTAGAATCTCACTAAGGATGAACACCTCCCTAGAATCACGCTAGAGATGAAAAACACCTCCTTTGTCACCAATACACAAAGGATGAAGGTAATAAAAATTAGAACAGTCACACCTGGGTAATGGAGACAACAAATTGTAGAAGCCTGTAGAATGCCAATTTCCAAGAACAAGTGTGATTAACAATGAAAGCACGGAAGCGTAGAGAAGAGGGTTTTCTCATAAGGTGTAAAATATCTCTATTGCCTTGCTCAGAATTCTTTTCTTAAAATTGATTGAATGTAAATTGTATTTTCGAATTCTGTAATTGTGTGTTTTTTATCTTTCATCAAAACTTAATTAAATAGAAAAATAGCATCAGAAAATGGTCGTTGGACATTAATATTTTCATGAATAAAAATCAGGATATATTCAAAAATATTTATTCTTCAAAATAAATATATTTTTCAAATTTGAATTGTCATAATTGATTATGTTACCAGTATAATCAATTGTGACAGAAAAAATCATTTTTCCATTTCTGATGCATCATAATTGATTATGACAGTGAAAAATATCATGTTATGAATTTTATCACACTTGTGTTTTGGAGGCTTATGCATAATATTACTTTATCAACTTGTACCTCCATATCCAGTATTCTAAGACTCTATGTAGTCTTCAGGAATCATCTTGGGCTTGCTTGAATTATCATCTTTATCAAAAACATATCTTGGGCATGTAGGGAAATGTTTCACATTGTCACCAACGTCTTAAATTCAGCTTGTCTTTAATTCATCTTGAATGGTGTTGACTTGAATGTAGTTGACTTGAATCATCATCAAAATCATCTCTTGAGAATGTAGGGACATTTCCATCAATTTCCCCCTCATTGCTTTCAATAGGGGGAGTCTTGTTATTAATATATCCAGGGGGAGATTAAGAGGCTCTGACACTTGATACAAATCTGTTTTAATCTGTGTTATACTATATTGTGCTAATCTTGAGCTGACTATATAGAGTCAAGTATTTTAATTCATTTCATGTGTTTCCTTGATCATCATAAAAAATAGGGAGAGATTGAAAGCAATGATTGATCATCATACAGAGAAGGGAACATTATTGGACGAAGAAAAGGAGTAAAGGGTTACCTAACTCATTCCAACAAGAATTATTGGAACACTGGGGGCATAATGCCCTAGTAGTTTAGGGATCCACTAAAAGAAGAAATAAGAAAGAATAATTACTTCATCAGTTGCATCATCGTACTAAGTGCAAAAATCAATTTAAATGATTACCATCCCAATTGAATTTTTCACAAACACCTTCTTCTTGGCAATATTTTCATAACAATTATGAGAGAAAAAGCAAGTATAGAAACATCAGCTCCTCGATAGCTCAAGGGTCTTAGTCTATTATAGTCCTTCTAACCTAAATCAAACAATATGTTGGAAACAATACTCAATTCTACATAAACTGAATTAGTAGCCATTTTATTATCAACAGTATCCCACAAATAGCAGGTTTACATGCTTCCATACATAACAACATTAGTACTGAAATTTCCAAAAATGGTGGACACGTAGTCCTGTCAGCAGGATATGGGAAAAGGCGAGAACACAAAGCCATGAACTCATTGAAAAAGAAAACCAAAATCAATCAAGGTACTGTGCTCTGTACATTCAAATATCATTGGGCATGATGTTCACGTGTCTTAGTTTAGATGTACCCAATTCTTCTCCATGGACATATCTCATTCTTTCCATAAGGCTCTTAAAAGCACTGCACATTAGCCTCACAACCTACTTCAGCTATTCAACAATAGGCTATGAAATTACTGATTTATAGTATAACAGTAATGTGGAGAAAAATAATTTGCTATGAAACTATAATTTCTTTAATTAATTTAATAATTTAGAATTGGTACATTGGTTGAATCTTGCTTAAAGTCATACCAATAATGATTTTAACCGTGTACATATTATTTACATTATAAACAAGAAAAAAAAAAAAGCAAATAAGATAAAATACGAATTGAAAATATGCTCTCATCTTAGTAGACTAAACAAAAATATAAATTCTAGGTCAATTTGACTAAACAGAAAACCAAAACAAAAACATTACCGTTAAACGTTTGACAGTCTCTCTATCTCCACCCCACACATATAGAAGAACTCTTAACGATATATAACTTTATAAAAAAAATAAAAAATCTGTGTAGTGTAATAATTTAACATCACCATGAAAATGGATGAAGTTAACAAAAGTGAGGAAGATGACACAAATGGAGTTAAGTTCAGGTGGAGCGTGCTGCAAGCAAAATCAATAAAATTAAAAAGGGAATTGATAGATTGATAATCAAATTTAAACAACCATTCATAAACTCAATAAAAAAAATATTAAGTGCTCACTACTCATCGCATAATCCCTCTCCTTGCTGTTGTCGTGGCTGCCTTAGATGCTCTAGAGGTTTGTGTGTTGTGGCCATGGTCTTTGTCTTAGGTTTAGATTTTATTGATTGTTAGGTTTAATTTTTGTTTATTAAAGATTAATTTTAGTTTTTATCAATTGAGGATTAAGATTATTCTTTGCCCATTTAGGTTTAGGATTAGGTTAATATGTTGTCCATTTATAGTTTAACTTTAGTTTTTGTTTATTATTGACATTACAAGATTAACAATATTTATTGTTCAAGATGAATGGATGTACTTATTAGTTAATGTTTGATCACAATATATAATTACTTAAAACTATACCATTGAGTTTGTATTGTTTTGTTGTCTGTTAATAAGAGAAATTTTGGATGTTTATGATTTCAATTAGCAAATTTTTGTATTAGATATTGAGGTTTATATATGAATTTTTCTTAGTACATGTTATTGACCCTTAATCAAAAGGAGTATATGCTTTCACATATTTATGATATTGATTATTATGATACTTATATTATTGTCATAAAATAGAGGTATATATGTGTTGGACTTGTAATAAATGTCATCATAATATAAATTGTATACTATGAACTTAAGTTAAATAGGGTTACATGTACTTGTAGTTGAAAATGGAAACACATGAAAGCATAAATGATGAATCTTCAAATGTTAAGTAGGTAAATATTGTATCTATTTGTATAATATTTAATATTGTTGGCAATAATTATAATTATTTATTGTGATTTTTAGGTATATTTGCAACATGTTTGTATATTTGGAAAGGGTGAGAAGATTTACAAATGTGGGACATCACAGAAACGAGCACGACCAAACGCTTTGATTTTCAACCTGAAAAGAGTGGGAAGATTCACAAGAATGGGACACTACAGAGATGAGCACGACTGTGACACTTTGATTTTGAACCTGGAAAGGGTGAGATGATTTACAAGAGCAGGACATTACAGAGACAAGCACGGTCGGGACGCTTTGATTTTTAACTTGAAAAGGGTGAGTAAATTCATAAGAGCGGGAGAATGTATTTGACTTCAACAGTGAAAATCTTTTTAGATTCACAATACCAACCTTTATTTATCTCTAAATTACAAATTTCACTCTTCAAACTTATAAATATAACCATGAATTTTAATAAAATCATATTTTAAACCCCAAATTGTCATTTGGATGTTTGATCATAAGTGTTAAAAATCATTTTGGAAACAAAAATCATATGCCAAGGGCCAACACTTGAGAACAAAAAATGAAAAACATTAAAAGAAGATGACCTTGGTAGAAAGAGGTTTGACCGTGACAAACATTTGTTTAGTGATGACATTGTAGCATAACAAGAAACATGAATAGGCACCACACAATACTAACATTTTGGAGTATTTTAAAATCTAAGAATACATGATAATTTACCTAGACTTTTTTTTTTATATTCCCACTAATTTTTTTATTATTATTTTTTATGAAAAATTTACATTATTACCCACAAACACTAAGTTATTTTTCATGGATATAGTATTTAATGTTCTCACTACACTTAAATATGTGATAAATATGATATCATCACTCACGAATGTTAAGTTTTTCCCACTAAAATTTATTTGGTCCATTTACGCAGAAAAATATTTCGATCACATCTACAAAATGTGACACTCGTATACATTCTGTGTTGGTAATGAGTTGGTTGGTCGCCTAATGTATACAAATTCTTATGATTTAACTTTTGTTCTTTGTGCGGGCTTCTATATATTCACTTTTCACTCTATTTGGCAAAATGTGTAATAATTAAGTTGTATATATGATACGTCTTTTATGGAATTCAATAGAAAAACTACACCTTACTTCAAGGGAAGGGGAAAAACCTCCACACAGTTATTACAAAATATTCTCCTCCTTTTATTGATAATGAAAAGGATATATATGGGCAGAGAAAAAAAGATAAAATTGGGTAATTCCTAAAACAACAAAACAAATAAATCTCAACAGAATAAAGTAAATCCTAACAGAATCAATTCATTTTGTATTCATTGAATTTCTGAGGTGCGTGACGGTTTCTAGAAGGATTTCTTCTCGGCTTGACTTTTCCAATTGTGTCCTCCAAATCATTTGGGCTGGGCTCTCATAACACATTTGGTTCTGGTTCCTCTTCACCTGCATCATGGTCCATAACATCTTTTTTCCCCTGCACAAACACCTTGTCCTCAAGGTGTAATTCAGGATAAGCAGATTGAAGCTCCTTTAATTCTTCCCATGTAGCATCCTCTGGAAAGAGACCTTCCCACTGCACTAACACACACTGTGGGGAATTGTTATCCACTGCTAAGATGGCCAAGGGTTGAACAATAGGTTGAGTAGTAGTGGTAACAAGAGGTAATGATAAAGTAGTTGTGCTAGTGAAAGGTTTCAACAACGAAGCATGAAAAACGGGGTGAAGTTTAGCATGAGGTGGTAGAGCCAAGCGGAATGCTACCTCTCCAATACACTCTATGATTTCAAAGGGCCCATAATAACGTTTGGAAAGTTTATGAAGTCGTAGTCCTGATAACGATTGTTGTCGATGAGGACGATGCTTGACCATCACGTGATCACCAAGCTTGAACAGAGCAGAGGCACGCTTCTTGTCAGCTTCATGCTTCATCACCTCTTGGGCCTTCAACAACTTTGCCCTTAGTTTGTTTAGAGTTTCATCACGGCATGCTAATTCAGCATCAACAACTTTGAGTTTGGAATTTCCCAAGCAGTAACTAGGAATGGTAGGGGGAGGTTTGCCATACATAACCTCAAAAGGAGAGAGCCCTGTGGATGAATGAATAGAGGTATTGTAACACCATTCTGCCCATAAAAGAAACTTGCCCCATGAGTTTGGTTTGCAATGAGCAAAGGATCTTAGACATTGTTAAAGCACTTTATTGAGAATTTCTGTTTGGCCATCACTTTGGGGATGGTAAGCCTTTGACATCTTTAGCTTAGTGCCATTGAGACAAAACAATTCTTTCCAAAAGACACTCATAAAAATGGCATCCCTATCTGAGATAATGCTTTTCGGCATTCCATGCAATTTATAAACCATATTAGCAAATAAGTCAGCGACCATGAAAGCATTATAATTGGGAGGAAGCGTACCAAAATGCCCAGCTTTGGAGAACCTATCAACAATTACTAAAATAGTAGTATGGCCTTTATAAGGTGGCAATCCAACAATAAAATCAAGAGCAATGTCTTCCCATACCCCAGTAGGAATGGGAATGGGTTGCAAAAGACCATAAGGAACATGATTTGGAGTCTTCATTTCTTGACAAGTAATGCAAGATTTCACGTAAGCCGCAACCTCTTTCTTTATTCCCGGCCAATGAAAGTTCTCATGAAGCCTCTGAAATGTTTTATGAAATCCAAAGTGACCTCCCAAAGGAATGCTATGGTACTCTTCAAGCAACAGAGACTTAAATGTAGTGTCATCACCAATATATATTTTTCCTTTATACAATAGCAGACCCTCTACAATGGAGAATCCTTCATGAGAAGTGGGGTTAGCAAAAACATCCGAGTATAATTGTTTTAGTTGGGCATTAGAATCATAAGAATTCTTGAGTTTGTGAATAAACTCATAATGAGGAAAAATAAAAGCAGCAAAGGAGCCTTCATCAAATTGACGAGACAAAGCATCAACAGTACAATTAGAGGAATCAAGTTTGTATTTAATTTCATAATCAAACCCCAATAGTTTTCACAAATAGTGTTGTTGTTTCGGAGTTTGAATCACCTATGTCATTAGTTCTTTCAAGCTTTTTTGGTCTGTAAAAATGATAAACTTGCGCCCTAGTAAATAATGTCGCCATTTTTTAACAGCTTCGACAATGACGTGTAATTCCCTAACGTAAATAGAAGCATTTCGCATCTTGTCACAAAATTTCTTATTATGAAAACAAATTGGGTGGCCTTGCTAAATAAGTACAGCACCCATGCCCCTTCCAGATGCATCAGTTTCTAATTGGAAAGGGATCTCAAAGTTAGGCAGGGTAAGAACAGGAGCTTCAGTCATAGCTTTCTTCAATTTATCAAATGCTTGTTGTTCAACTAGAGTCCAATGAAAAACGTCCTTTTTCAACAAATCAGTCAAAGGTGCGGCAATGGCAGCATATCCTTTTATAAAGTGACGATAGTACCCCGTCAAACCAAGGAACCCTCGCAGTTGTTTCACACAATGAGGAACTGGCCATTCTTTCACTGCTTGAATCTTGTCATTTTCTGGTTCCACACCCTCTTCAGTAATGATATGGCCTAGATAGACAACATTGTTTTGTGCAAAAACGCACTTGGATGTTTTTTTTTAAAAATTGGTTATCCAACAAGCATTGAAAAACAAGTTGCAAATGACCCACGTGTTCCTGTAAACTCTTACTATAAACTAAGATATCGTCAAAGAAAACAATAAGAAATTTAAGAAAGTGAGGGCAAAACAACTCATGCATAGTGCGCTGAAAGGTTGAAGGAGCATTGCATAACCCAAATGGCATGACAGTAAACTCATAGTGGCCTTTATGAGTTTGAAAAGTAGTTTTGTAAGACTCCCCTGGAAACATATGGATCTGATGATAACCAGAACGAAGATCAAGCTTAGAAAACCACTTAGCACCAAACAATTCATTGAGAAGTTCATCCATTGTGGGGATTGGAAAATGGTCCTTGTTCATGACTGCATTCAACGCGCGATAATCCACACAAAACCGCCATGTCCCATCTTTCTTACGCACAAGTAATGCTGGGGAAGAGAAAGGGCTCAAACTCTTTTGGATGACACCCGAATGTAACATCTCTTCGACCTGTTTCTCAATCTCTTGCTTCTGAAACTGCGGGTATCGATACAATTGCACATTGACAGGATTAGTTCCTTCTAATAGTGGAATTTTGTGATTAGTAGTACGTGGGGGAGGAAGCTTCTGTGGAACTTCAAAAATAGCGGAATAACTTTGAAGGAGGGCCTCAATTTCTGGGAGAAAAGACTTGGCTTTGCCATCATCAAGAGATAGAGGTTGAGCTTGAATATGATAATATTCATTGATCGAACCAGTGGTTTGAAGTTGTTTAAGTTGTTGGGATGAAATTTCATGGACTTTAGTCCTTGGAGTTCCCTGGAGTTGCACTATCTGACCTTCTTTTTTGAACCTCATAATTAACTTATAAAAATCAGTAAGTATTGGACCCAAAATTTTCAGCCACTGCACCCCCAAAACTAAATCAGCGCCCGTTATAAGCAAGACAGAGAGATCTTCGGTGAACAAGTGGGGTCCAATGTGGATTTGTACCTCTTTACACAACTTGGAGCATTGTAACTCCTCCCCATTACCCACTTGAACGGAGAAACCTTGGGCTGGGGTAGCATTGAAATTCAAAAACCTCACCAGTCGTTCCTGCAAGAAATTATGTGTACTCCCACTATCAATCAAAATTGACAATTGGGCCTTGCCAATCCGGCCCAATACACGTAGAGTTTGGGGAACCGAATGGCCCATTACGGCGTGGAGACTAATCTGAGCTGGGGAAGAGTCGGGTTGGATTTCAAGTTCAGTTATGGGTGGATTCAAGTCAGATAATAACTCTTGAAACTCCTCGTCAATCCTTGATAGAGGTTCTGGAGCTAGGAGAACCATGTACTGACGTTTGCAACAGTGACCCCGAACATACTTATCATCGCAGTAATAGCACAAGCCTTTTTCACATCTGGCTTGAAGTTCTTCGGTGGTCATGTTCTTGATTATCGGGGAATGATTGGTAGTAGCAAAGTTGGTTGTGTGAGTTTGGGAGAAAGGGTTTACGTTTTGGTTTAGGATGGTTTTTTGTGGTGTGTTAAGGATGGAGGCTGAGGTGTAGGATTTGTAAGGCTTGGACTGTGTTTGATATTTGGGTTTCGGTTGGGTGTCTTCGAATTTGGCCTCGTA